CAACGTTCCCCCCCCACCCAACACCCAGAGAGAACATATGGACCTGACCATGGGGTACAATTCTTTCCTGACCCCAAATATGGTGATTGGCCTGACCCTGAGCAGAAGGGCAGGACCCTGTAGCCAGGAACCTCTGGGTTTAAATCTTAGCAGGAGCATTGGCACGTACCAGTCAAAATCCCCAATCTTGTCTGCAGCCAGTGTCCAATGCCTCTAAGGAGGGCTTAAAAAAAAAACCCAACCCAAAATACAAAATCCTGACACACAGCTGCAGGGTTGAGGTGGGGGGCAGAATTCCCTCCCAACCCCATGCCACAACCAGCAAAGCCCAGAAGCATGGGAAATACCTATAAAATAGCATAGGCATAGCTATTCCTGCATCACTCCCCAAACCACATGTATGCACACAACCTCCTCCTAGGCACTTCCAGTGTTGAAGAATCCACACCTGCCCTGGGCAGCCTGTTCCACTGTCTACCTAACAGCTCTAACAGTGAAGAAGTTCTTCCTGATACCCACTCTAAACCCACTTAGCTGCAACTTCAAGCCACTACTCTGCATCCTACTCCGCAGCAAGAGAGAAAAGGTATTTTTCCTCTTTTTATGGCAGCCCTTTGAGTGTTTGAAGACTATCATGTCCCTTCCTAAGCACCTTATCTTCAAGCTGAACACGCATAGCTCCTTCAGCCTCTCCTCATATGATTTGCTCTCCGAGCCAAGCCCCGTTTTCATCTTTGTCACCTGCCTCTGGACTCTCTCCAGCTTCTCCATGTCCTTTCAAAATGTGGAGCCCAAAACTGCACATAATACTCTAGTGGAGGCCTAAACAATGCCAAGTGTCGAGGCACTATTACCTCTCACGTTTTGCACCTAATGCTTCTGTGGATACCTCCCAAAACTGCAGTCACCTTTTGTGCAGCTGCCCTGCGTCCCAGATCCTTCTGTCATCTGTCATCAGTGACCAGTGCTGTCATCCAGACAGGTGTCACCCGTTTTGTATTTGTGAGCATTCTTCCCAAGGGGGAGCTCCTTGCATTTTCAGCACTGAACTTCACTGTTAGCTCCAGCCCAGCTTTCCAATCTGTCGAAATCCTTCTGAAATGCACTCCTGTCCTCCACCTTCTCCCTGTGCACAGCAGCACCTCCTCTCCCCCATCAAGGGCAGGGGAAGGGAGGGCACACTTGCCTGAGGGACTTGAAGCAGTCTGCCTTCCTGGAGAGGAAGAAAAACAGGCTGGCAGGCAGGGCACAGCAACACCAGCAGCTCAGGTTGCTCCTCCTGCATCCCCCTTTCCAAAATATTTTATCTTCCCCTACCATGAAGGCAGGTGAACTTACCTAACAAGTCCTCTTTGCATGACCTAGGTAAGACAGCAGGGATACATTACCCTCAGCCCTGAAAGAGGCTGCTCCCGCACAGCATGTAGGGGAACATCTTTCCTCCCTTTGTGGCTGCACCTCTGAGCCAGTCCAGCTCTGTGCAACACCTTATGTGCTACAGTACAGTCCATCTCCCCTCCCACCCCACTGCCAGCTGTCAAGAAGTGGGATGGCCCTAGCCTGGACACCCCCTCCCTTTCAGACTGATGAGCAAGGATCCTGGTTTGCTCTGTTCAGAAATCCAACACTCTCTCATCAAAAACCCAAATTCTTCAATTAAAACACCCCAAATTCACATTTTTTTGTGATTAAAATGAAGCCCTATATATACAGGTATCAGTTGAACACAATATTTTATTGCTATACTTACAATGTTAAAGCAATTTGGAAGCCTACCAGTGTCTCATTCATTATAAGAAAATAAATTCTAAATACTTATATATTTTGGTGGGTTGGTTTGTTTTTTTAATCATGGAAAGTAAGAGCTCCACCTGCCCCCTTTTCTCACCAGGATGCGAGTCCAGCTTCAGCAGTGCCCCCACGCTTCCCCCCTCAACTGCTTTCTGGTGCTGAGTAGCCCTGATATACTGGTACCGCTCATTCCCAAGCCACCGTACCCCCCACAGCCCTGCCAGAGGGAGCTCCCAGTTGCTAAGGCTATGGTGGCTGCTGCAGCTGAAGAGGAGCATGGAGACCTGTCTTTCCTCCTGTGAGCAGGATGGCTGGAGCCGAGCAGACCCTGTCATGGACAGGAAAGGATGTGCTGTGGGTTCAGGGTTCCCTACCCCGCTGCCCTTCCCCCTGGAGATCTTCACAGCCCAGCAGGCAGGACCTGGCACAGGAGGGTGGAGATGCTGTGCTACCACCGCCACCACAGGGAGCCCCCACCAGCTGCTGTACAATGGTGAGGTACCCCATGGCCACCCAGAAGCAGTGTGGGGGTCACCACACCTTGGCAGCATGGCTAGCACAGGGGTCCTGGTAGCAGCAGCCCCACTCCACCCTCCCATGCCAGGTCCCACTCACTGAGCCACGGAAGGCAGCAGGGCTGGGAGTCCCAAACCGCCAGCAGGCAGCCTGCATCATTCCCTGCCCCATGCAGAAATCTGCACCCCTCCTCCATGGGAATGCACACAACAGTGGGGAGCCAACCCTCACGCCACCCCTGGGATGAGCCACCTGTGGCTCCATCCCACTCCCCCAGCCAGGCCCTGTGGCTGCACGTTTCTGTCCTGGCTGGGTAGCACCCCCGGCTGCCAACCCTGCCCCACTCCCTGTGCTTTTCTCCCACAGTGATTTCCTGTGCTCTTCTCCTTTAAAGGAGAAATTCCGCATTTTTCCGTGGCAAACAGAAAACCCGGATCTCTCCTGTTAAGCAATGAAATGGCTAACAGTATTGAGACTTAGAATATCGCTGATGTCTGAAGCAACATGCATTACATGGGGCAGCTTTCACTTCTCAGAACTATTCATGGCTCTTCACAGATTGGCAAAACTATATCAGTAAACATTTACTTCACTACTTGAAGGTTCCCTATGCCACCAGCTGGAGACTGACTTCCATTTATTTTTAGAAGTCAAAACCAGAAAACAACTGGAAAATCATTGCCAACCCAAGCAGGTAATGCCACACTCGAGGAAAAACTGTCCCTGACAGCAATGGTGACTCTGGCAGCTACTCAGAAGTCTGCTTGGGCAGGCAGATCTGCAACTGCAGGAGTTTAAGCTCTAGAACAGCCTGGGAGCTGCATATAGTTAGTGTTCATTTTGCAAGCCTTCCCACCACACAATTTTGAGCAGTTATTTTTTCTCACTATTCTACTGCCTCATCTCCCAACTCCAGTCCTAGAAGCTTAGGGCATGTGTATTGGAAGAGGGTGGACAAGGGTGTGGAGGGTCTAGGCTGTCCCAGGTCTGGCTTGGGCAGAAACAGAGTTATACTGCTGGGTCCTGAAGCATAGCTCAGAGCCAGATTGCCATAGAGAGCTTTGCCCGAGGCACATGGACTAAGTGTCAGAAACAGTGTTTAGCACAGTTTATGTAAAAGTGAAACAATGATCCTGGAGCAGCAAGGCTCGGGTGGCAGGCAACCTGAAGTTTGGAGCATAATTAAGACTGCCAGATGCCCTAACCAGGAGCATGTATCAGTCTCACTAGGAAAGAGGTATGAAGTGACAGGTAGTTGCATGAGCAGAAACCTTCAAGCAGCAATGCAAGCTCCCAAATGCAGTGGGAGTCTAGCATGGGAAAAAACACACTAAACTTTCCAAAATGGCAAAATCTGAATTTAATTTACAATGTAGTAAAGGTTACAGGTAAAAAGCTAAACAGAAAGCATGAAAAGGCCTATTACACAAATGTACAAACCTCATGGTGTCAGGCCCCATCCTGTACTGGCCTGTAAAGGCTTCAGAGCTCTGAAATAATGAGAGCTGGTACAATCCCAGGGACGAGAAGAGCTTCAGAAGTGACAAGCAGTAAAGTTCCCTTTCCCAAGGGAGATCTTGCAAGAAGTCACTTGTAAAAATAAAGTACTGTTCAATTTTTACTTGCCCTAACTACTTACACCCTAAAGAATTGTCTTCAAAACACAGACTGGCAGGAAAGAGGAAGTCCTGAAGCCTAGGAAAAAATAAAGCTGAAAATCAAAAGAATTAGTCTGAAGTGCAACGTGTAAAGTACATGGAATGAAAGAAGATGAACAAGAGCCATTTTGGCTAGCTGAGCCAAATGGGATTGGGTTGGGGGGAGGGGGCTGGGGCAGAGAGGGAGGAACAGAGAGAGAGAGAGAGAGAGAGAGATAGGGGAATAGAGAGGAACATCAACCCAATCCTGGATTACCAGCTCATTTTTATACATATATCATGACAGAAGTTTTCATTCTGTAGTTTACAGAAGCAAAAGCCATATTGATTTTTGGAATAGCCGTCCAAAAGAGTACAAGAGTGTACAACCAGATGGGATACGTTAAGGAATAGTCTCTCTGATGGCGGTTACATTTTCAAAATACTAGCTTGCCAAGCAGCTACCTGCACTGGTGGACTTCTGAGAGAGGATAGTTATGTTTAAGTGCACATAATCTGGAGAAATTCCCCAAATAGTACTTTGAGTAAGTACTTGAGCTATGCTATACTATACTATGCTAAATGATACAAAAACTGGCCACAAATATTTAAAATACAAAATAATATATGAATGCATTCATACAGTTTTGAGAACCTATGCTTTGTGGGGCTAGAGGGAATATCCAACTCAAAATTCCCATTTTGTTTGAAATGAAAGACCACTCATATCAAACCATGGAGTGCCACACACCTAAACTAGGAAAACTGATTTGGTTCAGATGCACTTAATTTTCATCAGAAAACTGGGTTCACTTTAGAAATATGCTAGCTTTTTTTTTTCAACCCATCCCCCATTTTAACAAGGAAAAGGACAATAATGTAGAAAACTGCATATGGTTTTAGTTATGAAAGACAACAATGTAGAAACTATGAGAACAATCCAATGCTGCTGACTATTTTTCACAAACTGTCATGCCTCTCATGCTCTATGATTGTCAATTTAAAGGGTCCCCAGACACAGATACAAACGCAAAAAAGGATATTTCACTTGTGTTGAAAGGTTCACATATGTCCTTGTGTGTGTTATAAGACAGCTGTTACTACAATGGTATTTGTCATTTCTTTGCTATTTGCTTTTCAGGTTTAACAGAATGTTTAGAGAAAACTGTCTACTTAGTTTCAGTTTTACTTTTCTGACCACATCTCCAGTCCTTGTGAGGGCATTACATGTACCCATGTTCAAGATGGCAAATACAACAAAAGAATGCTTGCACTCAAACAGAAACCTGTCGTAAGGTTTTGTAAAAGTAAAAATGAAAGTTATTTTACTTATATCATTTAGTAATTGTTTAAATTTACTCCTAATGACTTGATTAAGTATTGAATTTAGGTGTGACCCTGCAAGCACTGACTTCTGAAGTAGTGTGAACTACTATGAACACTATAACTGGAGTCAAGTTACTCACAGTATAAGCACTACACCTAGTCTTGTGTGTTTGCAGGATTATGTTAAAAGTCTGAGGCCTAAATTACTTGACACTATCCCTTTATTCTCACCAGGCTTACTGACTCTGAAGTTTCTCTCTAAATTAATGGCAAAGAGAAAAGGCTGCTAGACAATTTGGTTCAAAAGTAGGTGGGATATGTATTTTTACATTCATATAAAAAACGTTCTGAAGACAGATCTTTAAGGGATAAATCACTCTTCCGTCTGGATATTACGTGCAGTTAGGACATAAATTTAAAAAAGACGATACTGCACACAAACAGTTTCTCAAGTTCATCACCCCCCGCCCCCAAACAAAGCCCATCTCAGATCAGTAGAGAAGGGGTGGGCTTCTTGCCTGGCCAGGCCTCCTTTGCATATTTCTTCTTCTTGGGTTCATTCACAGCTTCAGGATTAAAGACAGCAGGGTTCGGGGCAGGGTTCATGTTAACTGTTGATGGCACAACGGGAGTCAAGTCCACATCAGGGGCAAGATTAGGGTACGGCATGGGCAGGCCTCCAATCAGTGCTGTCCCATGAACGCCATGTGACTGGGAACCTGCCTCATTGTGGGTGGGAGGTAAGCCACCATATAATCCTCCACTGTAGGGGAAGTTTTGCATGCGCCGTGTTGAAGATTCATCCGTGGTCAGTGAGCCCGAGTTTTCCATCCGTTTTTTCTGCAGTTGGACAGAATAAAGTATTTAAAGAATTATTTGGTATTTAACAATAGAATAAGTTATTCCAGATCCCATCTATAACCTTCTAGCACAGCGGTACCCAGCCTTGTTGGCATGCCACAAATTAAACTCTCACCCCACCATGACGGCTGATTTGATATCTGCCCCCCTAGAGGTGTACCTGATAGATTTTACCTAGGGGTGCTGGACTGGAGGCAAGGGGACTCAAGCCTCCAGATGCTTGGAGAAAAAGCATCACTGCCAAGAGCTAGGTTAACCATTCCCTGGCCTGGCAATCACTACAGCTTTATATGGCAAGCAAAGATCCAAAGCCCTGAATTTGCTGGCAGCTGTTGAGTAAGGAAATGGTTATCTTGGCTCTGGATGGTGACACCTGACACTCCCTCTCGCATCAATATCAAGCCCCTTTGCCTGCAATTCCAGTGTCGTTTTACTGAGCATCTAGGCCTCATGTATCATGCAATAGCTGCCTGTGCTACTTGTAGCACGCGTGTGGTGGGTTGGCCACCTTTATTCTAACACTTTCACCACACTGGAAATTGACCAATATTTCCTACTTGTTTTTTGCCATTTACCACTAAGCCAAAAGGCATTTTAAGGACAAACATATTGATCTAACATTTTGTAAAATGGCCTAAACTTGAATTTACAGTCCTGACACTTCTTTTAACCAAGGTAACCGGAGGTAAATAGGCACAAATTTTGATCACTTGCTTTTTAAATAACTGAAATATTTCCATCTCTAGTATGCTACTTTTAAGAGAACAATTCATACAGGAATTATGGACTACCACTGTAGTTTCTTGTTGATAGCTTTAGAAATGATTCGTTACCTTAACTGGAACTACTGCTGTCTGTACCATGTTTCTGAAACGCCCAACGGAGGGGTCCACATCCTCTGTAAGAATGACACATTCAGTAAAAAAGCTGGAAACAGTTGGCATATGGCACACAAGGGGATTTATAACGAATCAGTACCTTCTCTTTATGAAGCTGGGATTCTAAGACTTGTGTTTGGTCAGGCAAATCTACAGATAGATGAACTAAAATGTACTGGTGGGGCCATCTAGTGGTAGCACCAAACACTGGCTCCTGGGTTTGAAGTTGGGAGGGTTTGTTGCAGAGCTTTTGGGGTCAGGCTACCCGATCATGCTTAAATTTTAATTTTTCCCATGGTTTCAACAGTCAAAATCCTCAAATGAGAAGCAAGGTACTTAGTGCTACTCTGACTGCCTAACAGTTGAAGTGGTAATGACTAGTTCATGAAGGACCCAAGGGGCAGTCAGTAGAAGTTAGTGAGAAATCTCCAAAATCTACTACAGTAAAATCCCTGCTATCTGGCATGAATGGGCAATGCCAGGTGCCGGTTATGTAAAAATTCTGGTTACCTGAGGCAGATAATGTGGAGTGGAGGGGTGAGGGGTGACTGCACGTGGAGTAGGGAGTGGTGGCAGCACTTTCCTATTAACTTACTTATCATAGGAATCCTGCTGGGGTAGAGTAGCACTCTTGAGTTTTGAGGAGAGAAAAGCAAACTCACCTGGATTGATTATCTCATCATCATCACTGAATGTCACTCTTGAGTTCTTCCGTTTTCTCTTTGGTCTCTGGATATCCAAGTTCCCTTCTTCTATGGTGAGAGTTGAAATTCTCTTGTTATGGGCTGTGTTAAACTCTGTCAGGTTCTAAGGAAACATTCATGGAATAAACGGTCAGTATGGCTGTAATGTATGCAAATCTAACCATGCAGCTGTGCTAGTTAACAGCAAAACACAGCATCAAATGAAGAAAAGGTATGACGGCCAGCATCAATGCACTGTTCTCTGCCCCATTGTCAGCCTGATCTCCACTAGCTGAACGCAGGTGATAAGGCTACAATGGCTCCTGATAGCATGAGCAATAGGGTTGGGAAACTGCTATTGACCTGGTAAAAGAGCATGATTGGGTGTTTGTGAGCAAATATCCAAGGCCTGACACAAGGACTCCTGGAAAGCAGCACAAAGACAAGCCTGCTGTTGTGGAATGAGATAGCCTGTGAATGCCTACCAGCAGCAAATGCCTCTTAAACAACCTTCAAGACCAGGAAATGTACAGACCTAATATCACTAACTAAAGGACAAGAATATCATCCATCTAGAACAGGAGTGGGCAAAATATGCCCTGTGGGCCACATACAGCCTGCTAACCAACTGGATGTGACCCGCAGCTGGGCACCTGTGCCATATTCCTGCCTGTGCCCACTGGCCCAAGCCCTAACCAGCATGTGCAGCTTCTGGTGCAGCTGCTCCCGGTGCTGCTCTGCTCCCCTTGCCTCTGGCAGGAAATGCCCAGCCAAAGCTTCCCCTCTGTCCACCTGGAGCAGTGCAGCAGGGGCAGGAGTGGGAGGAGGAGCTGCCGCTGGAGGCAAGGGGAGCAGAACAGCACCTGGCCAGCTGCAGCT